CCAGATGGAGCCTGGAGTTCTCCTGGAATTACAATTTATCTGCAGACTACAGAGATCAGTTCCCCTGGAGGAAATGGCAGTTTCAGAAGGCAGACTCTATGGCATTACATCCATGCTGAGCTTCCTCACCTCTCCAAATTCCAGCCTCCAGCGGAACCACCCCCAGATCTCCAGGAATTTCCCAAGCTGGAGCTGGCAACCCTAGTATTTTACAGTGCAATCTTAAAAATGTTTTCCAGGGAGTAAGCCCCACTGAATTAGACATGCTTAGGATGGCACCATTAGTTGCTGTCTGTAGTATAATTAAAGGACAACTGCAAAATTCTCTGTATTAGTGTTGCCCTTGAAATCTATCGCTTCCCCATCCTCCTTTCTGTTGCCTATATTCTGCATTAACCCTGACCCAGAACAATGTTCAGATTCACTCATAGGCATGTTTTGGAAGGGTGTCTAAAAATAGAACAAAATACCTGTTTGCCACCCTGATTGTGAGGACCATATTGTTAAGACTGAAGAGAAAGCGAAGACCTGTTATATATTTATCTGAAAGTATGTGCTGCATTTGTATGAATGTTTTGTCCAGGGTCCTCAGGGCTCCATCTGTGTCCTGGAGATCACCATGACAGAAGGTTCCAAGTTCAAACCTTGCCATTTGAAAACATCTCAGATTACAGGTTGGGCAAGAATTCTGTGTGGGACCTTGGATACTTTATTTATTTATTTATTTATTTATTTATTTATTATTTAGATTTCTATCCCGCCCTCCCCGCAGGCTCAGCCTTAATACTTAATATCAGCCAGAGTAGTTAAGACTGAGCTAAATGCTGTAGACTAGGCAGCTTCATATATTCATAAGTAGATTTTTTTTTGCACTTCTCTAAGCTTTCTCTAGCTTGGGCGTAGGGAGGAGCTTGCAGTGGGATTCTGCACTCTTTTTGAGGCTCCCCACATCCTCAGCAGAAGCAGCTGGCAGGGTCAGCACCACTCACTGTGCAGTACTGCCTGTAGCAGCTTCAGCAGCATACTAGTTTAAAAGTCTGGCCGGCTGTTATCATTCTGCAGGTGGGCACAAACCTTACTGATCTTGTGATTGGAAAAAGGATCACAGTTCGGGAACTGGGAGGATGCATGGGGCCCATTTGGTCCAGCTACTACAGTGACTGCTGCTGTGTTTTGGTGAGTGCCTTGATTCATAGTCTGCATATAATTCAGTGTGTCATAAGGCAGAGTAATCTTTTTCACTCACATCTTTGGGGCTGCTTGACCCCATGCTTGTAGCATTGAAGTTCCATGACCACATTTAATTGTACATCACTCTTATGTACACAGAGAAAACGGTCACAGCATGAGTCCGCGGTTGATTATGCTTCCTTTTTGTCATGCTGATACTACAAAACTGCTATTTACAGTGCTTCCACTTTAAAAAAATTCTCAAGTGATAATCTCAGGAAAATCCGATCCAAGCAGTCTTTGTACAGCTGCATTGCCATTTGAAGGGGGCACGTTCATTTTCTACCCTTTCTGGCAGTGTTTTATGTGAGAAAGTTCCGCAGCAAGCAGCTCACTGTCCCTGTGTTTTCTGGATTTCTTCTACAGTACGTGATTGATGCTGCCAGACCCACCCAGATTTCCTCTTCCTGCGTTCAGCTCCTGTCACTCCTCTCTGCTGAAGAGCTAACATCAGTCCCCGTCCTCATCATTTTCAATAAGATGTAAGGAATTTTTAATTTAAATGTTCAGGTCGGAGGGATGAGGATGGAGCTAAGATTCAGTGGGAAAGTTTAAATGAATTTGATGGATTGATTTGGCTGCAAATAGTCTTGGGGTGAGAGGAAGAAAACCTACATTAGCAGGTTGGGAAATGGTGATCTTCAATGGATTTGCACTTTGGTCAGCAGGATCCAGAGGTGTTGCTTTTGGAGGGAGAGGGAAGCACACAGTTCTTCAGCAACGTAACAAAATGGCCTTGTGGCAACCGGAAGACTAATATAGCTACCCTCAGGAATTTGTCCATCATTGTTTTCTCTCTTTACCTTGGCTCTAGTGACCTACCCTGTTACATGTCCCTGGTGGAGATGAAATCATTATTCCGAATCCAGGACATTGTTTCCCGTGCCAAGCAGCCCATCACCATTGTGGAGACAAGTGCACGTGATGGCACTGGCTTACCTAAAGTGATGCAGTGGTTTTGTTCTGTCCTGCATGATTTCAGATGACCCTCTCGCCTCTGGTGCCTTGTGTAGACCATAAACAGAGGAAAGGAACCTGGACCACAGCATTCGTTTGGTACCTGGTGTTTTTTTTTTTAAATGCTGCTATCCCGGACATTGGTATGGTCAAAACTTGAAAGTAAATGTTTCAATATTTTACTATATTGTGTTAAACTAGTACTAGAATGTAGGCAGAGAATGCTTCTATGGAATGGGAGGTAAAATCCATTCAGTCACATCCATCTTTGATTAAACTCTTCATTTCTCAGAAGTCAAATGACACTGTACTCATTGTCATTCTGAAATTCTTCTGTGGTTTAGAATCTCTCTGCATAATTCCTTGTTGTTGTTCAGTCGCACAGTCGAGTCTGACTCTTCGTGACCCCATGGGCCATATCATGCCAGGCCCTCCTGTCTTCCGCATAATTCTTTACTTGCATAATAAATGCACAGTTGCTGAGATTTGTTTCATGGGATCCCAAAGTCTTCTATTATGGCAGTGCTTTGGGTGTACTGCAGCCTTTAAGGATTCAAATCTGATACAGCTTGGCATATGTGGTTCTTCCTTCAATGATTGAGCTATCTGTTGCGATGGAATGTGGTTATATAAATAGCAGGGGATCTCTGTTGGATTTCATATCCCATGAGAGATGCTGGCTAAAACAGCTCATCTTCTGACATGTCATGTTATGACTCATTATTACTAGCTAAGAGCTGATCAAGTTGCATGGGAAGAACTCGGGCTCTTTCCCCAATCTCTTCACAACTATCATGTATACCATACCCATTACCGTGCCCCTTGCTTTGTCTGCTACAGCAGCATCTGCTCCAGTGCTGAATGGCAGGACAGGGAAGTGGAGAGTTCATCCATCCACCCATCCATCTTCTCTCCTCCAGTTTACCAGGAAGGTCACAGCATAAGCAGAGCAAGGGATGGTCCTTGCCTGATTTTCTATTTCTAGCCCTGCCTGTGGTTACCCACAATAAAACAAAGTTTTCAGGCCATGTGAATGTAATAAGCCTCCAGCTGGTGATGGTGCAGGAGGAGGCAGCGGGTGAGTTAATGACCATTGGTGCTGGTCAGGTCTGAGCAGAGTGGCCCCTGCAGTGCTGGCTTTGCCGCGGGGGCCATTCATCTTGGCTTCCAGTCTGCCCCTGAGCAACCTCAACATGTAAAGAAAGCAGGTAAGTAATGCATGCCATCTTCTGTGCCTTACTGTGGTGTTTGAAGCACTTTTCCCCAGCCTGATTGTGATACCAGAAGTCAGCCAGGCTGGGAAATCAAATGCTGAAATCAGATCCAGCAAGGTGGATTGGCAGGGTTTAGTCTCCCTTGCTTGTGCACGTCATCTTTTTTTTTTAATGCTCATACATGCTACCTCCTGTGAAAGGAGGAAAAGCTCACTTTAAGTTCCATGTTCCCATGTCTGCTCTGCAAGCAAGCATATTTAATTGGCTACTAAGTTGGAATCTTTCCCCCTATCTATGTGAAATTTTGCAGGGAAGATGACTTGTATACAATCCTTGGTAATTTCATTCCAATACAAAGGAAAACAAAAAGACTACATCTGGGCATGTCTCTTCCATTGAAACCCATGGAATGAAAGTTAAAAATTAATGGGGGTCATAATGAATGAAATTTTTAAAAAATACAAAAGACATGGAAAAATAAATTTGGGGCTGAGAGTTTGTGACATGCCCAAGGCTACTATCAGCAAAACCATGTCGGAACTTCTCTCTTATGCAAGTAGGGCAGATGTAGTTCTAGAGTTGCACATAACTTGACATACAGGGCTCTTTCCTTTGGCAGCTCCACTTCAGTTTTTGCTGCTACATGGCTTTGCAAAAATTACATTGGCCTCTTACAGTAGTTCTTCCAGTTTACCAACATCACCTTTGGTAGCCTTTGCCTCGTGTTCAACATTTTATTTATTTAAGGAATTTCTAGCCCATTCCACTAAAAGTACTTGAAGCAATTTGTAGACAATTGAAAAACAATGTAAACTATCTAATAACACAGCATAAAATAATCACATAAAACCCAAACATAATCACTTGAAACCCAAACAGGCAGCCTCGGTAAAGAAGTATAGCTTTAGCTGGTGCTGGAAACTGCATATTGAGTGTTCTCTATTGAGAGGGTTTTCCATAATAGGGCTATCCCCAGAAAATTGTCCCAACATTCTCAATTAGATGATGATTCACAGAATTCCAGTTGTATTCTGTTGCTATTGCCTTAGCTAGCCAGCAGTAATACCTTTCTTAGTGCAGACAGAGCAGAGCGTAGTGCGTGGTGTTGGGTTGTCACCTCTGGCCTGGGAAATGTCTGGAGATTTGGGGGTGGTTGCCTGGGAATGGTGGAATTTGGGGAAGGGATGGAACTCAGCACAGATGTGATGCCGTGGAGTCCACCTTCCAAAGCTGCCACTTCTGCCAGGAGAACTGATCTCTGTTTTTCTGGGAATCAGTTGTAATTCCAGGAGAGCTCTAGGCTGCAGTTGATGACTGGCAACCCTAGTTTTAGGGAGTCTTGGCTGGGACTGAGGGCAGGGAGTTCTGTTAATCTACTGCCAGGCCAGATATTATGGGCAGAACCTAGATTAGATATTGGCTCTTTCATTTTGTCTGCGATCATTATTACTCAGGTTGAAAATACTCTAATGTGTTGACCAAAAAGTTGCTTGATCTCAGCTCGCTAATAAGCCTTTTTTCAATCATTACTCTGTTCTCATCTGTCAGCTGTCCTGTAGCTGCATCAGGATAGTGCCATAGGAGTTTGCTGAGGGCTTCGGTCTCTGCACAGTTTCCATAATACCATACTGCATTTTGAGCGCCTTTGAATGGAGGGTCAAATGTCACATTCTCAAATATTTCATGACATTTTTCACAGGGAGGCTTTGGAATGTAATTTCCTTTATACTGGTAAGCTTGGCATGACACTTTATCAGAGAACACAGTGGCAGAGCCTGTTTCTGGAGACAGAACTGCCGATGCCACAGCCTCATGCCATGTTTTTATACAGGACAAATAGATCATTATTAATTTTGCTGTTTTCCCCTTGCATGAGAGGGATGCTCCAAAGAAGACAGCATGGTTTGCTGTGTCTTGGGGACCTCGATAGCAGCTGCGAGCAACAACAGTGGCAATAAAGAAAAAAGTGCTGGGTGTGAGCTGACTGTTATCGGCTGAGAGTTTGAGCATATCTGCATTAATAGTTGTCAAGCGACGCATCAGTTTAACTGGGTCCGCAACACCGATTTCTTCTGTCACCTAGAAATGTAACAGTTATTTATAAATAACCAATATATTTATATCCATGCCTGACTCCATAGTTGAAGGCTGCCTTTAAAGAGAAAAAGTGAATGAAGAATAACAAGTCATTTATGAAGGACCGTGGGAAGGGATTGAGGAAAAGATTATGAAGATTGACCTGTAAGAATTTATTTAAGGTACCAAGGGGATTGTAGTTGAACAATATCTGATTGATGTAATGTACTTTCAAAAGAGGTCTTTAACAAGAACATTGAGTAACAACACTACATATTGTGTTGTTTGGCCTAACAATTTGAAATGCATGTTGAGTGTTAGCGCATGGTCTGGATCATATCTGCAAGGCACAGGCTATTCAGTGATGTTAATGATATTATTGGTGTTATTTAAATATTGATGGTATTGGGGCCAGGGCCTCAGATGGTTGTGGTGGCTCCTTAATTGAATGCCTGGTGGAAGAGCTTGGTTTTACAGGGCCTGCGGAACTGTAAAAGATCCCGCAGGGCCCTGATGTCTTCCGGGAGCTCATTCCACCAATATGGAGCCACCACCGAGAAGGCCCTGGCCCTTGTTGTTGCAAGCCTGGCTTCTCTAGGGCCTGGGAGGACCAGACAATTTTGAGTACCCGATCATAGTGCTCGCTGGGGAACATATGGGGAAAGGCAGTCCTTTAGGTACGTAGGTCCCTGGCCATAAAGGGCTTTAAAGGGAAGTACCAGCACCTTGAACCGAATTTGGTACGCTATAGGCAGCCAGTGCAGTGCTTTTAGCGCAGGCTGGATGTGTTCCCACATAGGGAGACCCAACAACAGCCTGGCCGCCACATTCTGCACTAGCTGAAGCACATATTCACCCAAAGAGTAACATGTGGAATTCACTGCCGCAAGAAGTGGTGGTGGCTACAAGCATAGACAGCTTCAAGAGGGAATTGGATAAATATATGGAACAGAGGTCCATCAGTGGCTATTAGCCACAAGGTATAGATGGAACACTATGCCTGGGGCAGTGATAGTCTGTATTTTTTTTTAATTTGTGTGTATGTGTGTATGCCTGGAAGTCATGGTTGACTTCTGGTGACCCCTAGTGGGGCTTGGACATTTCAGAGAGGTGGCTTACTGTTGCCTGGCTCTGCAACCCAGCCGTGGTATTCCTTGGAGGTCTCCCTTCCAAGTACTTGCCAGGGTCGGCTCTGCTTAGCTTCTGAGATGTGATGAGATCGGGCTTGCCTGGGCTATCCAGGTCATGGGAATGCTCTGTATTCTTGGTGCTTGGGAGGCAACAGTGGGAGGGCTTCTGGAGTTCTGGCCCTGCTGGTGGACCTCCTCATGGTACTTGGGTTTTGGCCAGTGTGTGACACAGTGTTGGACTGGATGGGCCATTGGCCTGATCTTATGATTTCAAATGGCTTTATAAGAAATCTAGAATTAATATGCAGGATGCTGAAGACACAATGGCAAGAGGAGGTTTAGGTTTTCCTGACCTCAAACAGTGCTATCACTTAGCTAGAATTTGATGGTTAATTAAATGAATGAAAGAAGAGTACAGCAATCCTTTGTGAAAATACCTCTAAAAGCATGCATTTGGCTGAATAAGAGCAATAAAAATTTTCACTATGCCGAAGATAACTATGTTATTAATGCCTTAGTTGAGATAATGCCTGGACCAAGGTTTGATCAAAATTGGCAAGCAGTGAAAGAAGGTAATTATAAAGTATGGGAACACTGGGGGGAGGGTTCTGATTATAAATCTCTAATGTCTAATGTTCAAAAGATTTTTACATTTGAAGAGATTTCATTCCTAAGTAACAGATTCCATTCTTCTAGTATTGGCAGGTTAAAAGTTTTTTACAATTACAGTTAAGAAAAGGAGAAATAAAACAAATGACAGATTTTGAAAAGTTAGCAATAGCTGGAGAAAGAAATATATTTTCTAAGGTATATCATCTCTTGTTAGATTTAGACAGCTTTGTAAAGCTATGAACTAGGGATCTGTAATCTGTAATTGAACCTGAGTTCTGTATATCAGGTTGAAAACTGTCTTAAATTTTTCAGTAAATCTCACTGCTTAAGAGAATATGATCAAACTAGTTTATCTGTGGCATCTAGCCCTTCATAAATTAGCTTAAATTAATAAAGGGATTAACCTGGTGACCGGTGAGAGATGGGGGGAGGTACTTACTGTGTGTGGGGGGGGAGGCGATCTTCATTGCTGCATGATGACGTCACTTCTGGCACAACCTTGATACAGTGGCATTGCACTGGTGTGATGCACTACCACTCACCCCAAAACTCTATGGAGTTTGGGTGTGAGTACTACTGCATCACCCCAGTGCAGTGCTGGAAATTGTCATCAGTGCAGTGCTGGAAAGTGTCCCACCCCCAAATGTTTTGATGGCCTGCTCCTGCCTGCTGACCAGATGAGCAATGGTGGGCATCAGCAACAATTACCAGGAGTTTGTCTGCCAACCCTGCTTCCTTTGTGAGATCTGCTCTGCCTAGACAGGGCCATCTAGGTCGTGGCTAGAATGTGGGATAAGTATCTTAATAAGCTCTCCTGTTCTATACCTCTCTTAGAATCTGTTTTTAGGTGCCCTAGGTTTAATATAGAGGCACAGAATCCTTTTCCAGTTAGAAGTATAATGTTATGAAGTGTGAACAGTTGTTTGAAAGGGGTAGATTTATCCCTGTTAACTTTTGATATTGTATAATTTACCACAGAGATGGACAGTACTCTGTCAGGAAGATATGTTAAAGGGCTCAAATAATTTCTGTCTTTCAAAAAAAAAAACCCTTTCCAAATGGTAAGAAACCTGAAAGCTGGAAATGGAAAGTGTTGGCACCTGGCAGCCATCTGCATGTTGCCTGTATAATCCTTTTTGATATTAACTACCTTTGATTTTAACTCTTCCTTGCTTCCTCCTTATCCACCCATGCCCTGTTTTCTGCATTCTTTTTCTGCCTGTTCTGTTAAGACACTTCTCTTTTCTAGAATCCGGCCTTCTACTCCTGCTTCATGCTTTTTCTTGTTTTTCCTTGTATCTGGAACTTCTTGTTCTCTGATAGCCACAGCTTACTGACATGCACTCCATAATATCACCTCCAAAATACATCTTTTTGACCCTATCAAAGTATCAATTGTGATCTCTGCTTCATCCCTTCCTGTTGTATGTACTCCATTAATTGCCTTTAAAAAAAAAAAGATTGTAAACGTGCGCAAGCTTTGTTCTTTTTAACTTAATCACTGCATGCAGTGTTGAGATGCTTCATAATGAAATATTAGATACATACATAGTCCAGAAGAATGGAGTAAGGAGTCTGTGTAGGAAGGTGAGTCTTGTATTGAGCAAATGGCTTTGGGAAGCGTTTTTGAAAGCTATCTTGATGATCCACAGAAAGAAATTCTTCAGGTTTCACGTGAGGTTTATGTATCCATCCAAAAAAAAAAAATAGTATGCAGCACCTGTTGGAGACATAAACATCCTACACAGCTGGAGTTCTTTTCAACAAAAGAAGTGCCCTCTCTTCATACACACACGTGCTTAACATTTCGCATTTGTGGAAGATCCAAAGAAAACATTAAAGGGGTCACTAATGGCAGGAGCTGCAGCATCAATGTAAAGTTGATGGGTTGGATGCAGTGGAAGGACCTTGTGAGGACTGTACAAGAATCTCATGGAGTAGTCATGCAGGTTGGTAGGCTGAAGTGAGGAGAGAGATAAATTGCTCTCTCCTTTCTATTCTTGAGCTGCACTCTGCTGACAGAAGAGGCAGAAGGAAGTTATTTTGCTCCCTGCCCCCTCCCTGCTGCAGCCTACCAAACCCGCATAGCTATTACTCCACCCAGGCCCTGCAATCCCAAGAATACACTCTTCCAGAGTTAGAAATGTATGAAAAAGGAGGGTAGAGCCAGGAAGACCAGTGACCTTTAGCTCCTTCTGCTGAGGGATCACAGGATCTGACCCCACAGTTGTGGAGAGGGATGAAATTGTTGGAAAAGACAGTAGCCGATTCAGCATTGGCTTTTCCCTCCATTGTTTTAGCAAACAGAAATTCCCCTCTGCATTGCATGCCACTTTCAATTTCTTTGATCATCGGGTTTTATGGTACCTTTTGCATAGATCTATGGCCATTCAGGAGTGACTTTGCAGTCAGTATGGTGTTGGCCTGGGGTATTTGAATGTGGTTTGAGCTGTACCTTTTCCTCAGTGGGTGATTCTGCATCTAGCATTTGCTTCATGTTTTCTCAACTGGGAGGGAAAAGTGCAGCTCAAAACCACATTCAAGTATCCCAGGGCAATGCCATACTGACTGCAAAGTCACCCCTGAACAGCCATAAAACAGCCATAAATCTATGCACAAGGTACCATAAAATCTGATGATCAAAGGAAGTGAAAACGGCATGCAATACAGAGGGGAATTTCTGTTCCAACATGGGTTTGCTAAAACTGTGGAGGGACAAGCCAATGCAGAATCAGCCAGTGTTGAGAAAATGTAGAACTAATGCCAGATGCAGAACCAGCCAATGTCTGGTGTGCAAAGAAGAAGACCCTGAAGGGGCAGCAAGAAGATAATTAGATCGGATAGTGAAGACAGCACCTTCTCTCTCCTGTTAAGTGTCATTCTTTGTCTGTCTCCAGATTGCTACTCTTATGGCAATTTTCTTGGAAGTGCCACACTTAATCTACTCCCTCTCTCTCAGCTAGAGATGTAGTTAGGAACCTCTCTCTGTCTCTCCTCTTTCCTATCAAGTATATTAGTTCCTAAATAAACCTTTAGCTACTCTTTAATCAGGTTGTGCACCCTTGCTGTGTTATTTACTCTGCCAACAGTCATGAGGTGTCAGGCTTTCATTAACATCACCAGGTATCAGATAAGCCTCTAATTATGAGCATATGTAACTGGTTTTAGGTACACAGAACAGAATAGGTTTTTTGCCTACCCTAAGAATAATCCTGAAACTGGTGTTGACATCCCTGGTGCTTTTTGTTGTCAGGATTTCAATATTCATGCCTGCCATGGGCTTCAGTCTTGTATTAGAATTGTTAACTGGATTGTGAGCTACCATTTCCCCTACCTTTTGGATGGACCTGATGTTAATGTCCATGTGTAGAAAGCCTCTTGTCTGTCTTTGCAATGCATACAATAGCCTGGTCCCAGGATACCTGAAGGACTGCCTTCTCCCAAATGAGCCTGCCCATTGAAGGAGGTAATCAATTGTGGCCTTGGTCTGGGTGTGTCCTCCCTTCAGGAGTTAGGCAAATGACTATTAGGCTTGAAAATTCTAAGGTTGCACCATGATAGATTGCACAAGATCCACTTTTTGACACTGACCAGACCATCCTATCTTCTAGGTACTGCCAGGTTAAAATAATTTCATTTTCTTAAGCTTTGGTGAGTAAACATTTTCATATATATATATGAATGAATGTCTAGGAACCTCATTTCTACAGCAATATGAACTGTTAGTTAACAAGCATGTGGTGAATTGGGTCCACTGTGCCCTGCAGGCCCTGTTCTATCCTGCCCTCCAAGGTTTTCCCAGCACCTGGAGAGGCATTTCTTCGTCGGGTAACCACTGCCACCATCTGACCTTTGTAAGGAATTGCCTGCTGGGGGTGGTGGTCAGGACTCCGAGCTTCCTTTTCAAGTTCTGAGGCCTTGCCTCTCCCACTGCCCAGTGCCTGGTCACTACGGGGACCATTTACTGCCTTGTGTACCCCTGGAGGAATAGCTACTTGCCAACTACCTGCCTTCCCCCTGGCACTCCTTTTAAAATAGCATGTCCAAGATGGTGGAGGTCTGTGTGGTACAGAGAACCACTGCCAGCATCAAAAATTATAAAGTATTTATTAAAAAAAATTCAGAAGCAGACTTTTAGCACAGCACCAGATTGAGCAAGGGATTAAAAAGAAATGGGTAAAACGCAATTAGTCTGTCCCTCTCTCTATACATGCCCTATCAGATTTTAAAATATAGGACAGGCTCCTTGGTTTAGGAAGTTACAGATCTCTACAGAGTAACTATTACCTTGAAGCTTCCTCCAGATGGTTAATGCCTGCTCCTCTAGACCTCAGTTAAGAGTTCTGTCTGCTATAATGGACTCAGCACCAAAAGAGTTTTTCTCCTTGCTTCCAGGAGTTTTATCACCTCTCTTTTCCCCACCCACTGACCAGGCTAGGCTGGGTCAGAGAAGCTTTTCCTGAATATTCTTCTGGAATTCCTTCCTGAAGTCTCTCAAGTATTTAACATCTCCAAGTATCTGTTGAAACTTATCTGTTTACTTTTTGCTCATCTAATTGAAAATGGAATATGAACTCTTTACTTCTTAATTTGTTCTGTGGATTTCTAGTACTGTAAGTATTTATACAAAAGTGTTTATGGTATTTAAAAAACTATGTTTTAATCTGTTAATTCAATATATATTATTTAAAAATCTCTATGCCACCTATCACCCAAATAGGGTCCCCAAGGCGGCAAACATCATGAGTACCAGCATTACTTCTTTCTTCTTTTTTTACGAGAGAGAGAGATAAAGAAAGAATCCTATAAACCACCTTGAAGACCTTGTGGGAAAGTGGGGTATGTTTGAGATAAAATAACTGAAGCGGCTTCTTAAATGTTGTTTTCTTTCTCCATCCATAATTTATCTACTAAGGACAGAACATATGTAACTGGTTTAAGGACAGAAGAAAATGTTGGAGGGGCAGAGGTTGGGGCTTGTATAAGAAAGTTACCTTTGGCATATATTTTCTTTGGATGGCATCAGATGCATTGGTTTCTTCTAGCAGTTTACTGAATTTTCTAATGAAATTGGTCCCACTTTGAATTAAATTATTCTTGTCATTTCTTTTCTTTTCTTTATATATTCTGTTAAATAAAAGGATTATTGCTATTGTTTCCATTGCAATGTATGGACAAGGCTTATCACCCACCCCCATGTACATCCTGGTCAGCAGGTGGAGTGTCAGTCCTGCAAGATGTTATGCAAAGCAAACATCACCCTTTCGGCGAGCAAAATAATTCCTTTGATAAACAAGTTTGGCAGGGGTTTATTTGTTTCAAAGACCTGCTAAAAACCTGTTTAGCCAAAAATGGGACAAAAGAAATGTGAGTGTGCATATATATGTTTAATTCTTAAAAATACTCTCCAGCATGAAACTTTCTTGAAAACTTTACATTATTAGCCAGTTTCTCATTAAAGACTGGCTAAATTTTTATTTTCCAGGCTCTTGTTTGTTTTTGTTTTGTCATAAGCTAAGTACATGTTATATGGACATGCGTGTAATGGAGCACTGACACATTTTTTTAAACAAGCTGATGGGAGAGGTGGAAGATGAGAATTATTAACCCTTTCCCTGCCAGCAGTTTCTTTGTTCCAAACTGTCTCCAGCTTCTTTCATCAAAATGAAAGTAAATTCACGTTTTGAATCTCACAAGAGAAAAAGCATTTTGGAGGGGAAACTGAGTCATCCTTTGACTCCTCATTCACGGGTAGCTGCCATTTTTCCTTCTGATTACTTGGGGGGTTGTTCTCTTTGGTGTTCTGGATTGGCCTAAAGAACAAACTGCAGTAAACGTAAAAACCTTGCTGTGTCACTTGGTAGTGAGCTTGGTAGATTTTTCTCCTCACCATGATTATGATGGTTGAGTGCTGAAGGAGTGGTAGATGAAGCCTTCAGTTAGGACACTTGGCTTGCTCCTCCTTCCCCAAACCTCCAAGCCATAATCTGAATTGAGGAAAACCTTCCTGTCAAACACCTACTTTATCCAGGAACATTCATTTGTTCTACTATAACAAAGAAGAGCCAAATCTTGATTTGGAAAATCTCAAAGAAGACCCAGGGCAGTGTGTATGGGGGGGGGGGGGGGGAGAGAAGATTTGAAGATTACCTTTTCCTTTGTGCTAGAGCTTCACTCTGCAAGAATACAAAATAAAAATAGGGAAATAGAATTAACTGTCACAGTATAGCAACTGATTTGCATCCTGTCTTCCCTCATTACCAGAATATTTAAGTAGTTTGCAAGACAAGCAATACACATTTCTGATGCTGGGCAGACAAGAATAAAAGTCTTGAAGCCACAGGGAAGAGTGAGGGGAGAATACCCTCTAAAATAGTACTGCTAGAATTGCCAGGTTGTGCCCAGAGATTTTATTTATTATCACATTTATAGCCCACCCATCCCATGAGCAGGCTCAGGGTGGGTTACTTCATATTTCAATAAATACAGTAAAATTTAAAAAAAACAGTATAAACATTTAAAATCAGTAGTTACAGCTTACAGTTGAGAGATTCCAAGCCGTTGATGCAGATGGATATGGCTGGTTATCGATGGGTGGGTGACAGCAACCTCGGGGAGGCCATGCGTCGACACCCGTTGCCTCAGTCAAAGTCCTGGTGGAACAGCTATATCTTGCAGGCCCTGCGGAATTGAAGATGATCCCACAGGGCCCTAATTTCAATGGGGAGCATGTTCCACCAGGTAGGGGCCAGGGACCACCAGGAGATGTTGTTTGTTAGAATGTAAAGCTCTTCAAGGCATATATGGGACGAAGAGGTCCCTGAGGTATGTTGGTCGCTGGCCATATAAGGCTTTAAAGATTATTACCAACACCTTCAAGTGAATCTGGTACTCAACTGGTAACCAATGCAGCTGGCAAAGCATATGCCAAACATGAGCCCGCATAGGTGTTAACATCAGCAGGCGCGTCACTGCATTTTGCACCAGCTTTAATTTCCGGATCAGCTTCAGGGGTAAGCCTGTGTAGAACGAGTTGCAGTAGTCAAGCCTGAAAGTGACCATTGCATGGGTCACCGTAGCTAATATTTCCCCCCTTCCCCAAAAAAAAAATTTGGGGGGGGAAATATGAAATGTATGCAATATTTACAGTTCTATCAAACATAAACTAATTTTTCTGCTTTAACAAAATACATCATTTACAACTTATTTAGCATGTAAAATTGCCATATTTGACATGTTTATGTAATTTAAGAGTTAAAAATGCCTTCATTTTGTATAAGCAAAATTGCAGATATTCCTAATACACGAGAGAAAGCTGCAAGCTGACGCACTCTGTGCTGTCTTAGCACATGACTTCACCTTTTGCTAACAGAGAGAGCTAAGTTCTCCATGAAACTTTCTGTTTTCTTTGAGGCTTTGGTGCAGTTTCTGCCCTACTTCCTTCTGATCTTTTTTGTCCATCCAGCAAGATTGGGCAATCAGCTACTTTTTACTCAGTAAGAAGGTAAATGCGTCACAGTGATTTGCGAGTTGAAAAGGTCAACCACAAGGTCAAGCATGTCAGGACAACAGAAGACATGCAACTGTTGAGAAGCTATGAAAGCCCTGCATGCTCCCCTCATGAAGAGTAGGTACCCTTCTAGGTGCAGAAATGCACCTTGGATTTAAGAGCTGTATATCTCTACACAGCATACTCACCTTGTCTTTAAAAGCATTTCACTCATTTGGAAAGATAAAATATTTCATAAGAGTTTTTTTAGCAGCCCTCAAAATTTCTAATTTTTCCCATTGGAAAAATGGGGGAAAGTCTGGGGGGCAGGAAGGAAAAACAGGCCCTCCCCACAATTTTTCTGTCCCCCCCTCGGGCCTTCAGATCTCTAGGCAAGACAATTCCACTGAGCCACCAGACCTGAATTGATGGATGCCAAGATGGATGTCAAGTCTCCTTGACAGAAAGGCAAAGGTGTGGGGAAAGAAGAATGGACTATAAAATCTAGAGAATCCTGAGGTGAGGTGAAGACTGTCCCTTGAAGATCTCTCCTGATCTGTCAGCACTGGATGGCTTGGCCAGCCATTTGTGTGTGTGTGCTGCATGCTTGTTGCTAGGGCATATCTTTCCTTATATATAATTGATTAGTGGGGTGGCACTTTCTGAACATTCCACATGCTCCTAAATCAGTTGGCTCCATGATGTGTCACTCAGAAGCTGTCCCTTTCCACTGGCTGCATTGCCTGGGTCCCGCCCACAGTGCACTCCATCAGCCATTGGCCCGTCAGCCGCCACTCAAGAGTACTTGTGTGCCATTGGCCAGGTGCTGGGTCTGCTCCTGTTCCCCGCCCACTCCAGGCACTGTTCCCTGTCAGAATACGCTCTTTCTCCTGGGGAAGACACTTCGCCTGCTTCACTCTTCTGTGGGATTAACTTTCCCCTCAGTGGCTGTTGGTAGGCATCCAAGCTTGGTTCTGTCAGTAAAAAGACAAGCCCTTTCCAGGCCTTTGTGAGGAACTCATTGGGGCCAGTCCTGACTAGGGTTGCCAGCTCCAAGTTGGGAAATTACTGCTGAGTCCTTCCGCCCGCCCTCCCCAACGCTGCCGTCCACAGGATCTACCCCCCAAATCTTCAGGTATTTCCCTACTCAGAGCTGGGAACCCTACTTTCCCCTCAGTAACTTGCTAGGCAAGTTTGGTTCTGTCAGTAAAAGGCCCTTTCCACACCTATTTTGGCCTTTGGGAGAAAACTCATTGGGGCCAGTCCTGACTAGGGTTGCCAGCTCCAAGTTGGGAAATTACTGCTGAGTCCTTCCGCCCGCCCTCCCCAACGCTGCCGTCCACAGGATCTACCCCCCAAATCTTCAGGTATTTCCCTACTCAGAGCTGGGAACCCTACTTTCCCCTCAGTAACTTGCTAGGCAAGTTTGGTTCTGTCAGTAAAAGGCCCTTTCCACACCTATTTTGGCCTTTGGGAGAAAACTCATTGGGGCCAGTCCTGACTAGGGTTGCCACCTCCAGGTAGAGAGATTCTGTGTCTAAGGAAGCCAGAGTCTGGGGAGGGGAGAGGCCTCAGCTGAACTGAATGCTATAGAGGCCACAGTCCAAAGCAGTTAATTTTCTCCAGGGGGAGAGAACATCTGTTGTCTGGAGTTCAGTTGTGATACCTGGCGATCTTCAGGCTCCACCTGGAGGTTGACTACCCTAGGCATAGCAGTCAGTGCTTCAGAGCAGGGTCTGCTAGACCCAGGTTCTTGCTGTGGAAGCTGACTGGGTGATTTTGGACCAGTCAAAGACTTTCAGCATAACCTACCTCACAGGGTTGTTGTGCAAGTCAAAAGGGGGGGGGAGAATGATGTAAGCTACTTTGGGCCCCATTGCAGAGAAAGACTACGTATCCTCCTCAGGAAACATTGTTGCCAATCTCCAGGTGAGGGCTGGAGATCACTCAGAATTACAACTGCTCTCCAGATGGTAGAGATCAGTTCCCCTAGAGAAAATGGTGGACTTATACCTTGCTGAGATGCCCCCCATGACAGCCAATGTGAGGTAGCACTCAGGGCTTCAGAGCACAGTAGAGCATGCAGGTGTGTGTATGTGGAGGGAGACAGAAAACTGAAGAGTGAGGGGCAGATAATGGCAGGTTGATGCTTCGCTGGGAAAGACAGAGTTGTCAACTCCAGGTTGGGAAATTCCTGAAGATTTGAGGGGTTAAGCCTGGAGAGGGTTGGGTTTGAGGAGGAGTGGGACCTCAGACAGGTACAATGCCATAGACTCCACCCTCCAAACCAGCCATTCCCTCCTGGGTAACCATTGTTGCAAATCTCCAGGTGGGAGCTGGAGATCACTCAGAATTACAAACTGCTCTCTAGGAGGAAGGGGGATGGAGATGGAAAGCTGAAGTCAGAGGGGCAGATAAAGGTAGGTTGATGGTTGGCTGGGAGGGAGATAGGGTTGCCAACTCCAGGTTGGGAAACTCCTGGAGATTTGAGGGGTGGAGCCTGGAGAGGGTGGTGTTTGTGGAGGGGTGGGACCTCGGACAGGTACAATGCCATAGACTCCACCCTCCAAACCAGCCATTCCCTCCTGGGTAACCATTGT